TATTGCAATGCTGCAAGCATCTGCAGTGCTGCAAGTGCTGTGAGCATGCCCAGTGCTGCAAATGCAGCAGGTGTCCACGATGCTGCAAGCTCAGTGAGCAGCCACAGTGCTGCAAATGCAACAGGGCTCCACAGTGCTGCAAACACAGCAGGCACCTGCGCTGCTGCAAACAAAGCAGGCTTTCAATATGCCACAGACACCATGAGCATGCATGGTACTGCAACACAGCRAGTGCCTGCAATGCTGCAAAAGCAGCGGGCACCCACGATGCTGCAAATGCAGCAAGCGTGCATGATGCTGCACAAATGCACAATGCTGCAAAAGCTGCAAGCATCCACGGTGCTGCAAATGTAGGGAACATCTGCAGTGCAGTAAATGCAACGGGACTCCACAGCACTGCAAGTGCAGCGAGCACGTGCAGTGCTGCAAGTGCAGCAGGCGTTTGTAGTGCTGCAAATGCAGGGAGAATCCATAGTGCTGCAAACGCACCGGGGCTCTGCAATGCTGCAAATGCAGCAAGCATCGTGCCAGTGCAACCCCCAGGGGCTCCAAAGCAGGATGGAAAATCCCTGCCGAGCTGCAGCAGCTCCCGGCACCGCGGCCGACCCAGGAGCCCTGCCAGCTCGGCCTGGCTCCGGCCCAGGTGCTTCGCGGGATGGTTAAATGGGGAAAATGATGTGATTTTTTCCCCACGTTTTTTTTGGCCCAAAGTCATAAGTTTGGCCGGCGGTTTCGCTCCGTGTCCTGTCGGGAGTGGAGCCAGGCGGGAACTCACCCAGGGGTCCAGGCTCTGTGGGCTCCGTCTCGGGGAGGGCAGCTGCGGGGAGAACAAAGTTAGGGAGGTGGCCGCAAAACTGCAGCAGCAAAACCGTGTTTGCAAAACGGTGCCTGCAAACGGTGGCTGCAAAACGGTGCCTGCAGACTGGCATCTGCAAGCGGGCAGCTGCAAAGGGCGCCTGCCAAAATGCAGCTGCAAAACGGTGCTTGCAAAGCTGTGCATGCAAATGGTGGCTGCAGACCTGTGCTTACAGTGCCACGGCTACAAAGCTGCGGCTGCTCTATGGTGCTTGCAAAACAGCGGCTGCAAAACCGYGGCTGCAAATTGCAGCTGCAAAATAGCACTTGCAAAAGGGCATCCGCAAAAGCATGGGTGCCAACAATGACTGCAAATGGTACCTCAAAAAGGGCACCTGCAGTTGGTACCTGCAAAACCATGGCTGCAAACTGGTGATTTCAATGCTCTGCCCTAAAAGCAGCACCTGCAAAATTGTGCATGCAAACCCGCCTCGGAATTGTTCACGCGAAACTGTGTGTGCAAATCCACGGCTGCAAAATTGTGCATGCAAAGACGTGGCTGCAAAACCACGGCCACAAAACGGTGCCTGCAAAATTGTACATGCAAAGCGGGGGCTTCAAAATGGTGCCTGCAAACCCGTGGCCTCAAAGCCAGGGCTACAAAACAGCGCCTGCAAAATTGTCGCATGCAAAGAGGTGGCTGCAAAACTGCAGCAGCGAAAGTGCAGGCCTGGCTGCTCACCTGGGGTGGGCGCTGGCACCACCTCCTGCTGCGACTGCTGCTGCGACTGGTACCGAAACTGCTCCTCGGGGGCGCGGGGCGTCACATCTGCAGGCGAGAGCCGCCCGCGCTCATGCCCGGGTCCCCCTTTCCCGCCCCGGCACCCGCGGCCGGGGGGTATCCTGGAGCAAAGGGTGTGTGGGGGTGYCCGCACCCCCGTGCTGGGGACCATCGCGCCGGAGCCGCTTACCGTGATAGTCGTAGTAATCCTGGATTTCTAGGGGGGGGAAGCAAACGGGTTTAGCGGCATCGGGCTGCAAGCGCCCCAGGGAAGGGTGGAAAATGCAAAAATAAGGAGGCAAAAAGGGGGAAAAAGAGAGGAACGGGGGTGTTTTCCCAGCTGCCTGTGCCAGAGAGGCTCTCACCTGCTTGCTGGTCGTACTGGGAATATTGCACCGGCTCGGGGTAGGTGATGCCTTCAAAGCGGCTGTACTGCCCCTGCGCCAGCAGCGCTGCTGGGGAGACACGAGCAGCGGCCGGGGGTGTCACCGGCGCCGGGACACCACGCGGGAGGAGGAGGAGGCTGCGGGACAGGGCCTTCCTCCCCCCGCCCCGGCGGCGAGGGGCCGGGACGCTGGGGTCTGCGGGGGCTCCGGCACCCACCTGGCAGGCAGAGCAGCGAGAGCAGCAGCGCCCTCATGGCAGCGGCGGGCGAGCGCGGCGGCGCGGCGCGGCGAGCACCACGATGCACCCGGCGGGCCTTGCGGGGAGCTCCTTGCAACGAGGCGGTGAGAACCCCCCCTCTAGCTCCCGCCACCCAAACCCACCCCCAAATCACAACTCTCCCCCCCAAAAACCCCACAAGCCCCATGCAAGGGGCTCTGGAGCTGCCGGAGCCTCGGGCAGCACCGGGAGCTGCCGGAGGCCCCGGCGCTTCCCAACGGCTGCTTCCCGTTCCCAGCGTCCCGGCGGGTGGCCCCTTCCCTCCCCGCACGTATACGCGCACATATAGAAACATGGTGGTGGCAGYGTCTTCTTGGCGTGACGCCCTGCACCATCCAAGGGCAGCTCCTAGAGGCCACATGTGGCAGCATCGGGATCCTATGAGCATGTTCCTACGGAGCATGTTCTCCACCATTGAAGTGTAGCACCACATCCTGCGCCACCATCCTATCCACATCTCCTATGGACCATGTCCTGCACCATCGCCAAGGTGCAGCATCTTCTACACCTGCACCATCACCAGAGCAGAGCATCTCATGGACCTATGGACCCATGGATCAAGTCCTACACCGCCAGAGTATAGCATCTCATAGAGACCATGTCCCACACCATCACCGAAGCATTAGCGTCCCCCATGGGCCTTGTCCCATATCATCAAAGGGTAGTATCTCACAGGGACCATGTGCTGAACGAAAGTGTAGCCTCTTCTAGAGACCACATCCTGCACCATAACCAAAGTGTAGGAACTCCTATGGAGCACCTCCCACACCATCAAAGTGTAGGAACTCGTAGAGACCAAGTCCTGCACCATCATCCAAGCTTAATGCCTTCTAGGGACCATGTCATGCACCATCACTAAAGTGCTGCAACTTCTAGAGACCGTGTCCTGCACCACCATCAAAGTGTAGCATCTCCATGTCATGCATGACCATGTCATGCACCAGYATGCATCATGCACCAGCATGACCATGTCATGCAACGTCAGCAAAGCACAAKAACTTCCATGGACCATGTCTTGCCCAGTGACCAAAGTGTAACATCTCCTAGGCACCACATTGCACACCAGCATCGAAGCGTATTATCTGCTAGGGACTGTGTCCTCCAACATCTCTAACGTAGCATTTCCTATGAACCATGTCCCATACCATCAAAATGTAGGAACTCTTACAGACCACATCCTACAGCATGAAAACATAGCATCTCCTAAGGACCACATCCCACACCACCAAAGTGAAGCATCTCCTAAGGACCATGCCCCACACCACCAAAATGTAGCATCTTGTAGAGACCATATCCTGCATCTTCACAAAAGCATCATATCTCCTACGGACGATGTCCTGCACCACCACCAAGGCAGAGCATCCCCTAGGGACCATGTCCTGCTCCATCCACAGGTACCAGAGATGGGCCAAACCCTGCATCCCATGCAGGATGAGACTTGGGCTTTCCCTGGTTCTCAGAGAGCAGAAAGCCTCTTTCTACTGGATCCAGAAGCTGGTAACCAAGCCTGACCCATGGGCAGGGTTTGGCGGCCACCAAAGCCAGGGGTTGGCCCGGTTGCTGGTGTCATGGATGGAGCTGGTGCTGGTTCTCCATGGCCCTTGGCCTTCTCGCTTCCTGCAGCCAAGTGAGCGCCCGACGCAGGTTTAACTGGGGTTAAGCACATCCCAGGATACAAAGGGGATTGTCCAGGGATGTGGGAGATCCATGTGCTCGCCCCAGGCTCCGTTTCCAGCTGGATCTACCTGACTAGGCCGGGGCACATGTGGCGAGATCCATCTGCCCAYGGATGCCCTCGCTCCGGCTCTCCGGAGCACGTGGCCCAGCTGGGATTCAGTGGTCCCAGCCGAGGCCACGGGAGATCCGGAGGTCCCAATTCCCACGGAAAGCCCTGCTGGGCATATCCCGTCCCAAGGGGCACCATCCCCTCCCTGGGCCATCCCAAAAACCTCACAATGCCTCTGAGCCCACGGGCTTCATGCAAGGCACTGGGAAAGGGGCCCCACCACGTCCTTCCAGGGAAAAACAAGCCAAGTTTTCCCTTTTTTTCCCCAATCGGAGGAGCGAACCTGGCAGCTCCCCCCGGYGCCCACTGCCTTTTCCCAGCCTCCGATCCCAAATCCCAGCGGCTGGAGGCAGCCGCCGGGCTCCATGCAGGGGGGCTGGCGGCTCCGTGCGCAGCCAGATGTTTTTTTTTTGCCGCACACATCTGGGAACAATCAAGCGCAGGGCAGCGCCCGGCCTCTTCATTGGGCTAAGCCCCCCTTCCCCCAGCCCTGCCCCCTCCCCCAACTCCAGCTTTTCCCAAAAAAAAAAAAAAAAAAAAAAAAAAAAAAAAAAAAAAAGGGAAAAAAAAGCTCCAAAGCTCTTCGGTTGCCAGAGAGTGCGAGAACAAAGGGAATATGGAAAAAAAAAAAAAATTCAAATTTTCTGGCAGCTGACCAAGGGTAAAAAGTCCCCCGGGGGTTTTGCTGCCTCTCTCGCCTGCCCCTCCTGCAACGCTCCGGGCGTCCCCATTGCTGCAAGGGGAGACAGGAAAAAAACCAGTCCCCCCTCCCCAAAATAAACCCAAACCGGCAGAAACGCTCAAATCTCCTTTTTGCACCGTGTGGCTGCACGAAAATAAATGCAAATAAGCCACTAAAGCGCTGCTTCCTCGGGACTTCGGGGTGCGTGGGGAGTGGTTTTAGCGGGAGGGTGGTCGGCGGGAGCTGCAAAGGTTAAAAAGACGCGGGCAGGGGAGCCCTTGGAAGCGCTCCCGGCTTTTCAGGACTCACCTCCCCCGCCAAAAGACAAAAAAGGAAAAAAGAAATTAAAAAACGATGCAMATTTTTGCTGTCCCGAAAGGGGTTTTGGGAGCTCCGGAGTTTTTCCCTCCGCTTTTATTAAGTTTCCAAAGTTTCCCCCCCAAAAAAACCCTCCCAGCAGCTCTGGCACTGAGGGGGTGAGGAGCTCCCAGCCTGGGGCGACTCGCAGTGCCCCAAATTCCCCCTAAAAAATGGAGTTTCGGGCCCCTCGCCGCGGCCGGCGCAAGCGGGAAGTTTCCAGCCCGCCCCGCGTTCGCGGATGCCCCGGGGGGGTCCCTGCCCCCGGGGGGGGTCCCTGTGCCCGGGGGGGGGCCCTGCCCCCGGGGGGGGTCCCTGTGCCCGGGATGGGGGTCCCTGTGCCCGGGATGGGGGTCCCTACCCGCTCTGGGTGCTGCTGGTGCCTTTTCCCGCCGCCGGCTTCTCCTCTGCTCCCGAAGGATCCCAACTGAGCCAGAAGCTCCTACCTCCAGCACGGGGGCTCCGCTGGGTCCTAGGGCTACACCTGGTCCTTCCCCTTCCTCCTCCTCCTCCTCCTCTTTCTCCTCCTCCTCCCCAGAAAGCTGCAGGCTGGGGAGGCGAAGCAACAGGAATAATAAGAGTAGCAATAATAATAATAATAGGAAATGCAACAGCCTGAGCAATGCCGGGGGTTGGAGTCGACGTGGAAACCCGTGGGGTCGCGCAGGGAGAAGCGAGTCCTCGGAAAACGGCTTCCAATGTATGTCTGGGAAAACAGGGAAAGCGGGATAAGCCCCAAGGGTTGGGGGGGTTTCTGTGCCCCGAGGGRGACGTGGAGGGACATGAGGGGATTYGGGGACATGGCTGGCGGGCTGGAGCATGGGAGAACGTATCCCATGCATGAAAGAGGAATAATAATAATAAAACGCAGGGATTTGGGCTGAGCGGGGGGCCCTCGCTCCCTGGGCTGCATGGAAAAGCTTCCCGCTCTGCCCCTCTGCGGGGGCCACATCCCCCAGGAAATGCGGGATGGGCAAAAGCCGCTCCCAGGGAGCCGGGAAGCGGCTCATGGAGGTACAGGGAGCCCTAGGGTTCCTCCTCCAGCCAGAGGATTTTCCTGGGAGGCCCGGGGAAAAGCAGGGGGCTCCCTCAAGCCTCTGTGCCCGGAGCAAACGGAAGGCTCGGCAGCTCCCTGGAAAATAGGTGAATGTGATTTTCTTTTTTGTTCTTTTTTTTTTTTTCCCAGGAAGCAAAGCAGCCCGAGTGAGTTTGGGGATACTAGTATTTATTTGTGGGCTTTTTTTTTTCCATTTCTTCTTTTTTTTTTTTTCTTTCCTGCTTTGGCTGCATTTTCAGCCTCCCCGTGCTTGCAGAACTGCTAAATTAAGGCAAAAAGGTTTCTTTTTCTTTTCTTTTTGGCTCAGGAAACCAGTTTTAATCCTGGCTGGGATTTCAGGAAACCTCTTACCTCTGCCTGTGCCTCATTTCCTGATCTAATCCCGACCTCCAGGAGGGCAGAGAGGCACCGCCGGCCTCAGAAGGGGCCCCAGGCTGCCGAGCCGCCCCCAAATACCAACCTTTGAACCCAAAASCACGCTCGGAGGCGGCCAACTCCCTACCCTCCCCAGCAGTACCCATCCCATGGAGAAAAGCGGGCGAGAAAAGAGGGTGCATTTATTGGCCACCGCTCCCGCCGGCGCTCGCAAGAGCCGGCGGCTCACAGCAACACACCAGGGGCTCGCAAAAAGGCTGTAAAAAGGAGGGATTTGGGTTTTTCCGGGGCTCTGGAGCAGGGCCCTTGTAAACACTTCCTACACATCCGGGGCGGCCGGTCGGGAGCAAGGCGGAGGCGGCGGGGTCACAGTGAGCRGAGCCGACGGCATCAGCGGGATGAGACCTCCTCCACCTTGGCGGGGTTGAGCGGGACAGCGTGGGGCAACAGGGGCAAGGGGGGTTCTCCTCTTCTGCACGTCCTCCTCCCTGCTTGGCTTCTCAGCAGGCTTGGTGGTGGCCACGGCTGGGGCCAGCACGGCTCGGGGGTGAGCTGCCGTGCTGAGGACGTCCCCACGGCAAAGRCAAGATGCCCTGATGGTCCTTAGCTACCTACTGTATCCCTCGCCCTGCATGGAGCATCTCCACCTGGGCGCAGGTGCCCGTGGCCAACGTTGGTACCAGGGTCAACCCCTCAATGACGAGGGGCTGGAAGGCAGGGAGGAGGGTGGCCTGGCCCACACCGACCATGGCTATCTCACAGTGATGGACAGCTTGGGTGTTGCAAAGAGCGGTTCATTCAGGGGCGGCCAGGAGGGCTGCTGCTGGCTCAACTCCTTCTCCAGTCGCTTGAAGAGCTTCTTGGAGACCTTCTTCCGGCGCAGCTTGCGCAGGCAGCAAAGCAAGCCGTGGTCCAGGGCGGTCTGCGGCAAAGCAAAGAYGGGAAGAAGGGGTCTGGGAGGAGGCCATGGGTCCCAAGGGTCAAGCACTTGGTTAGGGAGACCCAAAAGGCCCTCACTGCACTGTGAAGACACAAAAGGAGCTCATGGGGAAACAACGTCCAAAGACTYGGAGCCAACATGCCTGGCCTCACCTCCAGCACGAAGGCGGCGAAGAAGTTGAGCGCGGCGACTCCCAGCAGGAGCAGCTTGAAGTTCAAGTCGTCGATGGCCTGCAGCTTCAGCAGGGTTTTGGGGAAGCCCAGCGGGTACAAGGTCAACCACACCATGAGGCCGAAGAGGGCAACGAGGACTAGCAAGAAGAGCACTGAGGGCGAGAGGGAAGGCGATTGAGAAGGAAGCCTTGACAGCTCCCCGGGCCCACTCAGGGAAGGGTGTCTCTGGGCAGCCTCGTCCTCACCGTTGGTGTACAGCGGCTCCCGAAACGGGTAGCCCTTGGACATGGCCACGGCCAAGATGAGATACTGGAAGCCCGTGATGCAGAAGAGGACCGTGTTCTCGTAGTTGGGCAGGTTCTGGGGAGCCGTCACCGTGCTGTTCAGTGGCACATACCTGCACCAGGTAGAGGGAAAAAAAAGGCAGGGAATGAGACCCAGATGAATTGTGAGGAGAAGGCAGCAGGCAMAAAGATGTAGACACCAAGCAACCTCCTCCCTCCATAGGTATGTGGCTGCGGTTCAGTATCTCCTTGAAGGCAGCTGGCATTGGCCAGAGTCAAGGACAACCCCCAGGACATCAGCCTTGTTTCAGCCCTCCATGCCGTTGCCATCACTGAAGCTGGACAGCCGGGTGTCCCTTACCAGCTCTGTGAGATGGTGATGAAGTAGCTGAGGACTTGCACRGTGATGAGCAGAGCTGTCTGGAAGAGCAGGCTGCCCAGCACGAGGACACTGATCAGCGCTCCTTGGGGACGCTCCACTCCCAGCTCCTTGGCAGGCCCCGTCCGACCCATCAGCACCGCTACGGTGGTGGTGATGATGAGGTCAAAGAAGAGGAACTGAAAGTCACTCAGGTTGGTGTTGATCTGGGAAGGAAAAAACACCCTCATTGAAGCCACAAGGACCTATGAGGGGCTACAGAAGACCATGGCTTCAAACCCAACCACGAAAAGGTGACAATAGCCTGGGTCTGGAAATACCCTGGGGTATCTCTGASCATTTTAGGTGCTCAGATACATCTCAGAGCTCAGACAGGTCTCACTAAAGCATCTACAATGTGAGGCAAAGGTTTCAAGCGGGATCATTTCCCTGCTCTCTCCACTCTCCCCTGCACCTCTGTTGGGCTCCACCAGAGAAGTTGTCCCCGCTGTGACATCTCCCTGCTGGTGTGAGGACGCTCACCGTGTAGAGCAGCAGCACAGACACGAACTGCACCAAGCTGTACAGGGCCATGTACTTGAAGACCCCAAAGGAGGTGACCAGYGAGCACCTGCCCTCCCTGCAGAGAGGGCAGAAAAGCAGAATTTACAGGATCACAGAGTCATTATTAAATCCGGAAAAGACTTGTAGGATCAAGTCCACCCATAAACCCAGCACCACCACTGCCTTTGCAACCACATCCCTAAGGGCCTCATCTACACGTGTGTTGGACACTGCCGGGGTTAGTGACCGCACCACTTCCCTCAGCAGCCTCCACCAGCTCAGGGACACAAAGCTCCTTCTGCAAGGACAGAGTGGACACCGAGAACCCGCCCTGGCTTCCATGCCTTGTCCCCGAYGAAGCTCCCCAGCTCACCGGATGAGCGTGGGCACGCAGGCGATGTTGGCAACGCGGGAGGTGAAAGGCGACGCCACCGAGGCCTCGGCCTCCGAGAGAGAGACGCCCACATCGGCGGCCTTCAGGGCCCCACAGTCATTGGCGCCATCCCCGCACATCCCCACGCAGTAGCTGCGGCACAAAGGGTAGGGTGGGCAAGGGCCTGGGGGCCTTCGGAGCCCCTTGGCTTGCACCCATGAGCACATCACGGCTGGGGAAAGGGTGAGATGGGATTTCAGAGCTGCCAAGAGCCCTGCCACAAAACCCCAAGCTTCTGGCACGCAGGAGGCATTGCCGTGGACAGGGATGCCCCCTGGTTCTCCTCTGYGCCCCACGTGGCTGGTCCTAGGAACCTACTTGAGCTCCTGCAGGCTGCACACCAGCTGGGTCTTCTGGTCAGGTGACATGCGAGCAAAAACAGTCGCACGGATGAGAATCTGTAAGGAGGGAAGGACGCGGCGTTGACAGCGCTTGGGAAGGCGACCCAAGGGCTGATGCTTGGAGCAYGCTGGTCACCAGGAGGAGCTGGGTTGATGCAACCTTGACCCTCTTCTACCACGCGCAGCATGGAGGATGTCTCCTTGCAGCAGCAAGGCCAACAAAAGGTGCTGGGCCAAGATGAGGCCACTCTRTTGGTCCTCCTTCTTGGGACGTGCCCTGGCATGACGGGGCTGGACTCACCTTGGGCAGCAGGTCAGGGAAGTGCTGTTGAAGTACGGCGAAGGACTTGCCGTTCAGCGCCAAGTGGCAGGGCCGCGGCTGGAGGCAGAGACCGTCCTGCTGGTAGAGGCCCTGCAAGCGGAGACAACCCACCAGGGAAGCCACGTGCTCTCCATGGGGGGGCAGGCCGGCATCTCTGTGGAGCTTGGTGGCCACCAGGGGACCAACGGCCTCCACCCAATGTCCTCCCTCTCTGGACTCACCTCCGACTCCTCTTCACCCTGCGAGTGTTCGGCAAGGATGAACTTCAGAGCRGCGGGTTTGTCAGCCGTGGGCGGGGAGGCATTGACAAAGACGACCCGCTCTTTCGGCTCCACCATGTGGCAGCTCTTGGCCACGTTCACGGCTGTCAACATGTTATCTCCTGTCAGACAGAGGCAGCAGCACTCAGGGCAATGTTGGCTAACTTGGCTAGCAGGGTCTCACGTGGCTCTTAGTGCCTTCAGGCCATGAAGAGCAGCCCAGACATCTCAGATTCCTTCTTGTATGGCTCTGCAACCTCATGCACGAGGATGTTTTGGAGGGCAAGAGCTTATTCCTGACCCAAACGCAGCACCTTCCAACCCCACAGCCCTGGCAGMTGCTCCTTGCCTGGCTGTGGGCCACCCTAAGTTGACTCCTGCCAGTCCCTGTGAGCTGTGCGGACCAGCACGGCCATGAGATGTCAACGTCCAAGAGATGGGTGGCAAAAGAGCAAAGAGCTGGCATGAAAGGACATCCATGGCATGAGTGGTACCTGTCACCATGACGGGGCGGATGTTGGCATTGCGCAGCAGGTGAATGGTGGGCGCTGTCTCTGGCTTGAGCACGTTCTTCATGACGAGGAAGCCGAGGAAGGTCAAGCCGCTCTCAACGGACTCCCTGTTGGGAAATGGCTCATGCAAGCCAGGAAGCTCCGCCAAAGTCAATGCTCAGCTCCTTGAGGGACCATCTCACAAAGCAGGCGAGAAGGGACCGATCAAGATCCGCATAGCGGGAAGATGGTTTGTACCAACCTTGTGAGCTGCAGGGCCTCCTCGAAGGTGGTCACGGTGCTGAGGGCTTTGCAGGCGAGACCCAGCACGCGGAAGCCGTCCGTGGTGTAGTGCCGCAGCATCTGGGAGAAATCCGGGGGCACTGGCGGCCGTGAGGGAGAAGCGAGGTCAAAACAGTTGCCCAATGAGCTCCTGCTCATCATCATCATCATCAACAAGTGGCCTGGTTCGAGGTGAGTGGCACAGAGCGGGCAGTCGCCCTCCCCAGCCCCTACCCGTGTCCTTCCTGCAGAGGCTGGCCACCATCTCCGGCGCCCCTTTGACGTAGGCTTCCACAGAGGCCTGGCCAGGCAGCTTCGCCAGCACGCTCATCCTCTGCAAGGAGGAGGAGAAGGGGAACCGCCGGAGGATGCCCACGGGCACCTGGTGCTTCTGCAGAGGGAAGGGAGCGGGTGGGTGTCAGCATCCATCAGGAAAACCTGATGTAGACAGAGATCGCCCCCAATCGGAGATGGAGAGGATCTACTAAGGCAGAGCAGAGCATCCCTTAGGAAGGCCACTTAAGTTGAGGGTGATGCCACAACACGTACCCGCCTCGTCATAGCTCAGCCAGGACCTACCGTGTCTCGAGGCTGTTCTTCCACAGGTGGAGGCTTCATCACGGCCAAGACCTTGGTCCCAAACTGCTCCATGACAGGAGGCTCCGCTTGGTCCTCCTCCGGCATCTCCAGGTGCTGCAACCAAAGATGCTGAGAGGACAAAGCCCACGCGAGTCCCCTCCTTTCCGCTGCGACAGCACATTGGCCACCTGGGAGGAAAGCATCGCCCACTGCTATTCCCTCTGTCCTCCTTACCCAGCCGGTGGATTCCATCATCTTGAGGTCCACGGGGTCGCCGATGGGCTGTGTGCGCAGCAGCGAGATGGTGTGGCAGGCGGCCAGGGCGTAGAGCAGGGGACCGTCGGGAAGGCAGCGGGGCTCGTGGACGATGGGCAAGAAACGGTCCCTGTCCAGCGGGACGACGCCCCACACATCCAAACCCTCCTCCGTGAGGGTTCCCGTCTGTGGGCAATGGAGAGGGTGGTGGGTCCAGGCCAGCCTTCACCTCCCACCACGGCCAGCGCCACCCTGGACCTCACCTTGTCAAAGCAGACCAGGCGGATCTTCCCGCACAGGTTGATACGAGGAGGGCTGATGCAGAAGATACCCTGGTTCTTCAGCCTGTTCTGGGCATAGATGGTGCCCACGGTCATGGCAGCTGGCAAGGCCGGCGGCACGATGACGGTGACCAGGTCGAGGGCACGGATGATGATCTGCCCCACAGGAACCTGCCGCGGGACACAGTGAGGAGACACGGGGCAGCGTAAGCACCCGGGGCACCAACATCTCCCAACCATCTCCACCAGCGCTGGCTGACGGGCCCAGCGCCAGCTCCAGCACCCAAGGGCTCAGCAGCTCCARGAAGCATACCTGGTTTTTGACCAAGACCAAGATGCTGTATAGCGTGCCGATGAAAGCTGTGCAGGAGAGAAAGGAGAAAACAAGCTCCATCACGAGGAGAAGTGGGTGGATCCACACAGGATGCGGAATTTGGCTGTGCTCGGGTGTACCTAGGACGGCGAGGAACAGCACAAACTTCACGGCGTCCTTGTAGAACTTGAAGCTTACAGGCTTGGGGTAGAGGATGGAGCTGATGAGGTCCCCCTTGGCTGTGCAAAACCCTGTGGGAGAGGAGCAGCAGGACTGAATATTGCCAGGTTTGCTTGGAAGGACACGGCCAAGGGAGGCCTTCACGCTGCCCATTCATTCATCACCTGTGCGCGTCACCACGGCCAGCACCTCTTTGCCCACGTAGGACTTGGCTTGGATGACCTGCGTGCCGCAGAACAGCGTGTGCCGACGGTGTTCCTCGGGCGAGTAGATGGCGTGGGCTGCGCGGCCACCCGCCGGGAGAGGAGTTTTCATCACCGGCACGCTCTCGCCTGGGGGAGACACCCGTGCTGGGGAGGACCATCGTGTAGTGAYGGTCCTCCATCTCCAGGTGAGGAGGAGCTTCCTTACTGTGAGGGTGACAGAGCAGTGGAACAGGCTGCCCAGGGAGGTTGTGGAGTCTCCTTTTCYGGAGGTCTTCAAAACCCACCTGGATGCCACCCTGTGCCACATGCTCTGGGTGTGCCTGCTTGAGCGGGAAGGTTGGACTAGATGATCTCTAGAGGTCCCTTCCAACCTTGAATATTCCATGATTCTGTGGGGGCCGGTCTATAACCCCCAGGGCAACGGGGTCGAACCRGCCCTTCCAGCAGCCGCTGTGCCGGGGTGGGTGAACAGAAGGACGGGAAGCAGCTGCCTTAGGGTCTCAGGAGACACCCAGCTTGATGTTTTCCCTCTAAATCCCCCCCAAAAAGTCCAGGTTTGGATGCGAGCAGCCGTGCCGGCGCCGCCACTCTCACCTGTCAGCATGCTCTCGTTGACCATGCACTCGCCCGTCAGCAGCGCGGCGTCGCAGGGGACCAGCATCCCGTCGCACGGGAGGCTGATGCAGTCGCCRGGCACCAGGTCCGCCGAGCTCACCACCGTCTCGGCTGGAGACAGCACCAGCGCTCAGGCCAGTGGCCCCAGCCCCGTCCCGCGGGCCTCGGCTGAAGGCCACAAGCAGCAAGTCCTCCATCCCTTGGGTCTACTCAACAGCCCGGGCAACTCAACAGCTCGGGCAACTCAACAGCCCGGGCAACTCAACAGCCCGGGCAACAACTCAAGCCCAGCAGATGTTGTGGTGCTGCCTGCTACCGAACTCAACGAGGCAGCTTCCCGGGAATGCCAGGCACGCCGTGGCCACCCGGCAGCCCCGCGGGCACCACGCTGCTCACCTCCGCTGGGGCTGCGCACTCGGACGCCGACCGACATCTTGGCCATGGTCTGCAGCGTGGCGCTTTGCTGTAGGGAAGCGAGTGCTCAGCAGGCGCCCGAGGGACCGGGCAACCGCGGCCAAGTCCCCACCGGGGTCAACTCTTGAGCATATYGGGCTAGGGATGGGGCAGGAGGATGAGGGAATCTGCCCTAGCAGCTGGAGGTCCAAGGCGAGCTTGGGCTCAGCTTGCAGGGCCTCCTGCACGGGATCACCCTGCGGTTCCTCCCTCTCACCCTGGCCTTCCTCCTCGGGTCCCCAAGGGGGGCTGGGATCTGCTAAGGTGTCCCCTCCATTTCCCCACGTCTTTGTCCTCCCGTGGAGCCCGTGACCAACCTTCCTCGTCTCGTAGAGGGACAGCCCTAGGGAGATGGTGGAAATGAGGAAGATGCAGGCAGCGTAGTAGTAGTAGGCATCGCAGACCCACAGCACGATGCTGAACGCTTGGAAGATGTAGAAGGGGTTGAGCACCTGCAGGGGAACCAGCAAGGAGAGCAGGTTTGGAGACGAGCCTCCTCCAGGCCCTTGTGAGACCTCCAGGCTCCATGAGAAGCCCATGTAGAGAAGCTGGCCCTTCCTTGGGGTGGCTGATGGATCAGCTGCCTTCTCTGGCCTCCCTGGCTTTGCCTATGGTCAGGACTCCAGATCAAGGTCGTCCTATCCATGGTGAGGACATCCAGATACGTGAGAGCCACCTCCCAAGGACACTCGTGCCTGAGCTAAGGGGCAGGACAGGTTCTCTCCACAGCTGCCTCAGCTCTGCCTCCTCCGATCTCTCTCCTAAAGTCCTCTTCTCCCTGAAGTTCAGGAGAGCCCCTGAACTTAACGTCCTTGGTTTAGAGGGCACCAGGCCTTAGCCCTGGGGACAACCTGCTCCTCCGAGCCACCGCGCGCCCACCTCCTCCACCAGCAGCCTCGCGTAGGAYTTCACCGGCACCTCGATGAGGTTCGGGCCGTAGATCTTCCTCCTACAGAAGGGAGAGGAGAGCAAAGGGGAAGCGACTATGCAGTGGAGAAGAGCTGCATGCCCAAGGTGAAGGCCACCATGCTGCCAGACCCGCACGGGAGCCCCAGGGAGACCGAGCACCCAAGGCCCTGATACTGAAAACCAGCCAGGTTGATGGCTCTAAGTCACCATCTGCCTGGGGAGCAGATGGGACGGAGAGGGGTCCTAAGATCTCAGTGCATCGCTTGGRAAGGGTAACAAAAGCAGGGCAATTATTGCAATAAAAAAGGCAAGTCCTGCAAGAAAAGCAGTTTTTTAAAAAGTATTTCTTTCTAAGCATAGTGAAGATTTAAGCTATATGATGCCCTGTGTATCAGGTCCCCCTGTGACATTCCTACCTGGTGTTGTGGTCCTGCTGCTCAAGACCTGCCTGGGTGAGGTGGAGATCCTCACAGGTCCAGCCTTCATCCAAATCACTGGAAGAATGGAAGGAAAAGGTGAAGAAATGTGTCAGGGATCTCACAGACCTGCTGTAATCCCTGACAGAAGTGTGTTTAAAAATCCAGCAGGAGCCCAAGCCAACACATGGTGTCTCCTTTTCTGGGACCTCCATCCATTCCTCCTTCCATTCATCCTCCCATCCCTCCCTCTATCCTTCCCTCCATCCTTCTATCCATCCATCCCTCCCTCCCTCCATCCATCCTTCCATCCATGCTTCCATCCATCCCCGAGCTGGAGGTACCTGACTTTGCAGAACGCCTGTCGCCTCTCGATCCACACGTAGCGCAAGCCCTCAAAGAGGTAGTAGCGCAAGAAGTTCCTCTGAGCAGAGCAACGTGGAGGGCAGGGGGTCAGCAGAGCCCGGGGCTCAGACTGGCACCACGGGAGGGTGGCACAGGACGGGACCGGCGTTACCTCCTCCTTCTCGTGCAGCCGGATGGTGTCGCGGCTCTCCTCCTCCTCCGAGGCGCCCATGGTGATGGTGGTCGTCCGCTCCTCCAGGCGGGCTCCTGGGTGATGCTCCAGGCTGCTCGCGATGGAGAAGCGACTTCAGGCACATCCAGCCTGGACGGGCGCCCACCATGGGGTGGAGCTACCATGGGAAGGGGCCGCCTGCACCCCACGGGCGACCTCGACCCACCTGCCATCGCCCAGCGCCTCCGTGCGCACCCGTGCAGTGAAGCACTGCCCAAAGCGGTCCTGCAACACACGCGCAGCTCGCCACCGGGAACGGACACCGTGACGAGGAACCGCCCCGCGTGAAGGTCCCACCATCCCCGGCCACCTGCCTCCCTCCACAAAACGAGTCCACGTCCCGCCCGCCTGCAACTCCCAGATAAAAAATATGGACAAAACAAAGCCAGGAGAGCGGGCACAGAACAGCAAAGCACCGCTTGCTTCTAGGACTGGGCCTGGGAACCACTTGACTGTGGTGGCACCAACCCAACGTTGGTCAAACATCAACGTTGCAGTGGGAGGGCGAGGAAGAGGAGCAGCGAAGCAACTCGCCCAGGACCTCCCTGCGACATCAATGGCCAAGACAGCCCTCGAAGGCAACCCGGGCTCCACCGGAGCTCGCTCATCACCACTCACCCTGATGACGACCCAGTGGGCCTGGCCGAGCGGGCACGGCCTGCCCTTGGCGCGCACCTCCAGGCTGGGCTTCCAGTGGAAGAGCAGGAGCAGGAGCCCCGCGCTGAGCACGGCGCCCGCGTGGCACAGGAGCACCCGCCAGCGCCGCCTCGCGTAGCCCGTCACCTCCTGCGGGGACACGCAGGCCATTTAAAGACAATAATCTATCAATCAAAGTATATAAAAATATATATATCTAATGAAATGATGCAAATGATAAAGGCGGCGAGAGCGCCGCGTACGTACCATGCCGCCTCCGCTGGAGCCCGGCCGCAGTGTCCCGTAGCCCGGCGGCCGCTGGCCCAGCAACCTGCTGCTATCTGCGGAGCCGGAGAGGAGGGAAGGCCCCTTAGGAAAGGCGCGGAGCGGCGACGAAGAGGAGGCCGCGGGGACGAAGGCGGGAGGGAGGCGCCGGGCGGCCGCACGTGACCGTCACGCGGCGCGGGGACAAAAGCGGCCTCCGCGGCGGCTCCGGGCAGGGGGAAGGGAGCGGAGCTGGCCACGAGCCAGCTGGAGCACGGCCGCAGCCCGGCACTGCGCCGGCCTCGCTCACGCGGCCCCAAAATGCACCTTTTTGCCCCATTTTTTTTTTTGCAAAGTTTCCACCTTGCAAACTCTAATGCAGAGCCAGCTCCAAAATGCACCTTTTTCCCCCATCTTTTTGCGAGGTTTCCACCTTGCAAACCCTAACACAGACGTCAAGGTTTGCAGCTCTCCATGTCGATGCTTTGGTTGCCTATTAACCCCCTGCCCCACGCACCCAAATCCACTCGGGATTAGAAGACGCGTTCGGATCCCCGGCGCTGCTTCCTATCCTGCGACTCCTCTCCTGGCACGACTCTTCAGTCGGACRTTTCCACCCAGACAAAAGCCCACACGGCTCCGGAGCCACCTCTTTTCTCATGGAAACGCCGTTCCAGCGAGACACCCTGCGAGCCTCTCCCAAAGCCCTGGAATGTCACCCGCAGCTGACATATCCCATTGACACCAGCCGGCGCCCGGCCTTGGTGCCCAGCGGGATCCGTGCAAAGAAATCCAAACTCCCGCTTGAATTCCCAGCTCTTTCACTACAAGAAAGCAACACGGGGGCCTCCAACCTTTCCTGGGAAAAGCCGATTTCTCGGAGGACGTAGCCACTCCATCGGCCCCGTGTCAGCGCGGTGAATCCCACCTCGCATCCCTCTCTTTCTCTCACCTCCGGAGCTGCTTCCCGGCTCCGGCTCGCCCCAAAGGCGACGTGTCCGGGCAGCCTGCRGCAAAGGGGAGGGCAGAAGCGGCGCGACCGGTTTGCCGGCCGCACCTCGTCCGCAAACACCCAGTGCCTGCGGAATGGCGAATCCCGGCGGCAGCGGCGCCCGGAGCGGCTCGGCCGGGACCCCGCGCGTCCCGCGGCTCCTCGCGGCCAGCACGYGCTCCGCGTCCACGGAAAACGCGCTGGCAAATCCCTGGAAAGGCGACAGCCGCCCCGAACCTGCAYGTCCAGGTGATCCGGTCCTAAACGGCTTGCAAGCGGGGGAGCGCAGCTGGGGAAAGCCCTGAGGCGGAAGAAAGCAGGGGAGGAAAGAGGCTTCCTAGAAGACGGAGACGTTCCTGGTGCTGAGCTGCTCTCATGCATCTGTTTTTTGTTTGTTTTTCTTTTTTTTTAATTGTCCTTTTGCAAACTTTGGAGACAGATAAATAATAAGGTTGGGAGACAGATAAATAATAAGGCTAATAATAAGGTTCTTGCAAGCAAGGTGCTTTCCCAGGCCTGGCAAAGCGGGAGCATCCTCCTCCCAAAGGAGGCTCTCGGCCTCCTATTCCCATGTGCTGAGCACTAAAAGCCTCCCAAGGATTTGGGCATCCCCRGGCTCTCCTTCCTGCTGCCGGACTCAGCTTAACCCTTGACGGATGCACTTGGGTACCTGCATCCCCAAACTACCCAAAGCRGGAGAAAAAGGATGGGGTTTAAGCCCTGAGCGCTGCTCAGCCCTGGCGCAAGAGGGAACTCAGAGGGGTTTGCAGCGCGCTGGGCACCGCTGCAGCGCGACACGCGAGRGCAACCCGCTCCTCTGCCCTTAGGTCCACACAGCCTTATGCAGCACTGCAAAAATGAAGTACAAATCGAGGGAACCACAGCCTCAAAGAGCGTTCTGCAGCTCTGCATGCCGTGCACAGTGCAATGCCGGCAGGTGCACGGCGCAAGCTATGGACGCTGTGCACGGTGCAAGCCTGGGGTGCACRCAGTGCAGGCGGCAAAGCAGGGGAAAGGGGCAGCGGGAGCCTGGAGYGCACGCAGGCAGAGCCCCTGAGCTCTCATGCAGTGAGGAGGGAGGAAACGCACAGCGCAAGCCCTGGGCACGCAGCCTGCAATCCGGGGCACGTGCACAGCGCAACTTGGGGAAACGATTCTGTGATTCTGYGAAATGCACGCTGCAAGCGTGGGGATGTCCACAGTGCAAAGCCCGGGGATGGCGCAAGCCGGAGGGTGTGCATGGCGCAACCCTGGAATCCGTGAACGACACAGTGCCGGGCCGTGCAAACCCTGGGGATGTGCACACTGCAAGCCCGGTGAAATGCATGGTGCAAATCCTGGGTACCTGCACACTGCAA